TCTCTCTCTCTCTCTCTCTCTCTCTCTCTGTGTGTATGTGTGTCTCTCTTTCCGTCTCTCTCTCTGTGAGTCTCTGTGTTCCCCCCTCTCTCTGTCTCTCTCTCTCTCTTTGTCTCTGTCTCTCTCTTTCTGTACGTCTTTCTCCCTCTCTCTGTCTCTCTCTCTCCCCGGCCCCCCCAGTATGCCCGCCTGGTGGAAATCGTGGGGATGCACGACCTGGGGGTGGGCATCACCCTGGGTGCCCACCAGTCCATTGGCTTCAAGGGGATCCTCCTCTACGGCTCCCGGGAGCAGAAGAAGAAGTACCTGCCCAAGCTGGCATCAGGTATGGCAGGGCACGGAGGAGGGGGGGGGGGAAGGTTGGCCAGGCCGGGGGGGGGGGGGGTCGAGGGGCAACCCCAACCCATAATGGGAATCCCAGGCCCCTTCCCCAAATGGAGTCGTTGTCCCCGGCTGCGTTGCGAGGTGGACGTTCGTTGTCACCCAAGCTGGTCTCTTTACTCACGAGTAGCCAAGATGGAGTAGATAGAAAGTCTTTGTTTAGGCCTTTACGTTTTCTTATGTTTATGTTTGATTTTTAATCTGTTTATTTTATTTAGGTTTTATTTGTTTTATTGGTGCTTTATTACATTTATGTTTTATGTGTTTTATTTACGTCATTTTTATATGTTTGTTTTATTTATGTTTTATTTATTTTATTAATGCTTTATATATTTTATTTGTTTTATTTTATTTATGATTATTTTATTCATGTTTTTATTTTATTGATGCTTTATTTATTTTATGTTTATGTTTGTATTTTTTATTTATATTCTATTTATGCTTATTTAATTTGTATTTTATTTTTTGCTTATGTTATGCTTTATTTTTTATTTATTTTATTTCTGTTTGTATTATATCTTATGTTTTTATTGATTGATTTTTTATTTATTTATTGTTTGTGTTTTGTGTATTTATGTTTTGTTTATGTTTATTTTATTTATGGTTTTATTTTTTATTTTGTTATTTGTTTTTGTATTTTATTTTTGTATTTATTATGTTTATTGATTGTTTTTTATTGTTTATTTTTATTAGGTATGTTTTATTTATTATGTTTTATTTATTTCCATGTGTATTTTTATGTTTTATTTATTTGATGTATGTTTGCTTATGTTTGTGTTTTATTTGTTATTTATTGTTATTATTGATTGGTTGTTTTTATTTATTATTTGTTTTTATAATTCAATTGATGTCCCAGCTTTGGTTATGCAGTTCATCAGGGCAGCATCTCCAACTTTCTCACAACAACCCTGTGAGGTTGAGCTGAGAACGAGAGGGACGAGCAAGCCGGCTTTTCTAAGGCGGAACTAGAACTCAACATCGCCTGGTGACAGGCCCAAAGTCACCCAGCTGGCTATGGGTTAGGCGGGACTAGAACTCACCATCTCCTAGTGATTGGCACATCCAGCCGGCTTTTCTAAGGTGGAACTAGAACTCAACATCGCCTAGTGACAGGCCCAAAGTCACCCATACGGTTAAGGCGGGACTAGAATTCCCAGTCTCCAAAGTCACCCAGTCCGCTTTCATTTCTAAGGCAGAAACTAGAACTCACGCTCCCTTGCCGTCGTCCCAAACTCAGCCCGTCTGCTGCCTTTCCTACCTAAGACAGGATTAGGAACTTACATTTCCTTGCGATTGGCACGATGGCACCCGGCCCGCTTTTCTGACGGTGGTGGGACTAGAACTCCCGGCCTCCCACTTTCTCGCCCAGCACTCAAAAGATTCCTTTATTCGGCGTGCCGGCAGCCCCCGGGAAAAAGGTGCTTTTTCACCGCAGGCTAAGTCCGGCCGGCTGGGAGATGAGTAGCTGTTTGCAGCACCACCCCCGGCCTTTTATCCCCAGAACTAGGGTGGGGCTTCGCTAGTAGCGATGGCTCTTCCGTCCCGAGGACCAGCCCATAGATTTCCACTGCTCTCCTCTCCTCTGCGCGTCAGGCACTGAACCCGGCTGTTCCTCCTCTTCCTCATCAGCCACTTCCAGACCTGGCGGCTGTTGACTTTCCATCGGAGGGCTGACGGACGGCCCGGGCTCTGCCCCTCTGTCTCTCTCCCTCTGCCAGCTCCATTCCCGCTTCCCCAGGGGTGGGATTCAAATTTTTTAACAACCGGTGGCTTGGTGGTCATGTGACTGGGGGGACGTGGCTTGGTGGTCATGTGATTGGCTGCGCGTGGCGCACTCAGTATCACTCGCATCGAGGCACGCATCTCCTCGCCAGGACTCTCATGACCGTGGGGATGCTGCAACGGTCGCAAGTGTGAAAGACAGTCATAAGTCCCTTTTTTCGGTGCCCTTGTAACTTTGAATGGTCCCTCCACACAAGCAAAGGACCAGCAAAGGAGAGAAAAACAACTCCAGAAAAGTTCCAGAGACAGGAAGTCTAGTCCTGCCAAGAATGTAATAAGGGTGAAGGGAGAGGCAGTTTCTGTCAGCAACACCAGAATGTTTCCTTCCTGCCTTCCTTACAGGATTAGCCCAGTAATTTCTTCTAACAACCGGTTCCCTGAACTGCTTAGAAGGTTAACAATCGGTTCTAGCGAATAGGTGCGAACTGGTAGAATCCCACCCTGCTCTTCCTCCTCAGAGCTCTCAGGTTGCCCTGATGCTGACCCTGACTCCCAATCTTCCTCCTCCTCCTCCTCTGATCCTCCCACTCCGCCTCTGATTCGGTTTGTGGAGGGGCCAGCGGCTGACAGGCCACAACACTTTTCCTCTTACATTTCATTCACCTGTCGCTTGCGCGTTTGATGTGCTGGGATGGGATGGGGGGAGGAGGGTATAGGGACACACTTATTCTGTCACTCCCACCCACCACCACCACCCCTTGCCCAGGTGAGACCATCGCCGCCTTCTGCTTGACTGAGAACACCAGCGGCTCCGACGCAGCCTCTATTCGGACCAGGGCCGAACTCAGCCCCTGCGGTACCTACTACACCCTCAATGGGAGCAAGCTGTGGATCAGGTGAGGTGGCCTGGGGGACGAGGGGGGGGGGAGAGAAGGTGGGACAGGTGACATCCCCCCCCCCTCCATCATCCAAACAATGTCTTTAAAAGGCCTTGAAATACCAGCAACTGTTCGTTTAGCGGCTGTTTGAAGTTACAGCGGCACCGAAAAACAGGACTTCAGGCCATGTTTCCCACTTAACGACCGTTGCGGCATCCCCGTGGCCATATGAACAAAATTCAGACATTGGACCAATAGACTCTTGAGGTCCGTCCTGGGGGGGGTGAGGGGTGGTTGGTGACCCCCCCCCCCCCCCCCCGACCAGCTAAATCCCTGGGGAAGCCGGATTCGCTTAAGGACCGTGGGACTCATTTAACCGCTGCAGGGATTTGCTTAACGGTGGGATTTGCTTAGTGACAGAAACAACAGTCGTCGTAAGTCAAGGACTGCCTGTAATTCAGGAGGAAAAGAGGTCTGGGAAATGAAGCCCCTCCCCAATTGTCTGTTCCAGACGAGAGGAGGGACCCCTTTGTGCCTCAGTTTCCCCACGTTCTGATCAGCATTAATTCCAGATTTGATTGGTCTGGATTGATTCCGGTTCTGGAGATGAGGCTGAAATTAAAATTTTCGGCCTACAAAAATATTGCTGATGAAGAATAAAACGGGGGCAGAATTCCCATCGCGTCTGATTTTTCCCCCCTCACCTTTTCCACCGTCGTTAAACGAATCAGCAGTCATTAAGCAAATCAGGCTTCCGCGTTGACTGTGCTCCTCAGGTGACCCCCCTCTTTCCTCCTCTCTCCCCGCAGACAGCACGACCGTCGTAAATATGTGCCGGTTGCCTGAATTTTGCATTAGCGGGGAGGCCAAACGGGCGCAAGGGGGGGGAGGAAGCCCCGGCCCCCCCCCCCCCCCCGCCTCCCAATTTCCGTTGTAACTTTGAACGGTTGCTAAACGAACAGTTGTAAATGAGAAGGCAAAGAGAGAAGGGGAAATAAAAAAATAACAAGGATTCAATTTCCAGAGAAGGTTTTTCAAAATTGTGCCTTTTCTCACCCAGCAATGGCGGCCTGGCCGAAATCTTCACCGTTTTCGCCAAAACGCCGCAGCAAGACGAGACGGGGAAGATAAAGGACAAGGTCACGGCCTTCATCGTGGAGCGAAGTTTTGGGGGGGTCACCAGGTGAGCTGTCAAGGGGAAACTGCCCCCCCCTCCCCAAATATCTGAGCATTGGAGTTTCCGGGGTGAGTTCCCACACACCCCTTGAGTCACTGGGGCAAAGTTTGGGGAAGGGCAGAGAAGGGGAGCACTCCCGTAGGGGTGTTCTTTGGCAGAGGTCTCCAAAGGTGGCCCCTTTAAGACTTGTGGACTCCAAATCCCAGAATTCCCCAGCCGGCTTCGCTAAGACCGCAACTCTCTCTGCCTGCTTTCTCTC